TATATATGTAATACCTGGATGTGATGTGCTGAAATATATATATAATACCTTGATGTGATGTGCTGATATCTTTATGTAATACCTGGATGTGATGATATCTTTATGTAATACCTGGATGTGCTGTGCTGATAACTTTATGTAATAACTGGATGTGATGTGCTGATAACTTTATGTAATACCTAGATGTGATGTGCTGATATCTTTATGTAATACCGGGATGTGATGATATATTTATATAATACCTGGATGTGATGTGCTGATAACTTTAGGCAATACCTGGATGTGATGTGCTGATATCTTTATGTAATACCTAGATGTGATGTGCTGATATCTTTATGCAATATCTGGGTGTGGCCTAGTTGTTAATGTGCTTAGAATGAGAATGATTCCTGATCCTCACTTTAGAACCACTGGGGTGGTATGGGAAGACAGCAGACCCTCATTAGAGAGTTCTGCCATCTACCCACCCCCTATTTAAGATTTTGAAGTTCTTTACATCATGATTCCCACTGACATGAAAGAGTTGATTTTTTCTGCCCTTCCCCCAAACTAACTTTTACCTCTTTTAACCCTTACCCCATCACATAAAAAGAATCCCAGAAAATGCTACTGGAGCCATGGGAATTCTTTTAGAATGACAGTCAAATCCCTGTATTGGGTTAGACAAGAGTAATGCAAGAGTTGACTACATGCTTTTCATCTAGTCTATCAGTTCAAATTTAGGAATGGATAGCACTTATTTAGCTTAACATAAAGTTCTAAAACATATAAACAAGCATATTTGACAAAGAATTCCCTCTAAACTTCTGTAAAAACTTCACAGCTGATCAAACAGATAAAATATATGATTTGTTTTCAGTCGTCCAAGAGAAGCTCGAGTTTTCTTCAGAAGTTTAGAGGAATACTGAGGTGTTCTTGTCAAATATATTTGTTGTAAAAATATACTTGTTGTAAAAATATCAGCAGTTTAATATGAAGACAATGTTACCATATTTTTCAGTGTGCCCTTCTGTGAAAGTAAACAATCACACAACACAGCAGCCTTTCAAACACTTTGTGGGATCAATTGTGTTGAAATTGACTCAACTTGTGTATTGTCTTCGGAGTACTCTGTTGTATTGGGACAGAAGAGAAATGTACGTCTTTCAACACGTGGATTCACCCAGTAACATGAGTGTTTTTTTATTTTAATTTTGTAAACTTAAGATGTGTTTTGCAGATAAAAAACATAGAAATAGAGAAAAGAAGGTTTCTTTGTTTTATAACTTTAAAAAATAATATTCAAGTTTTGTGTAATATGGTAATTGAATTAATTTATAGAATTGGGAGTTTCCCCACCTTCAAGTATGAAGTTTAGATGTAACTGTGAACAGTACGTACCTATATTTATGTTTTGTGATACGTTTAGATATATTGAGAAGTGTAAGACTATTTTGTGTTTCCTTACTTAATAGTTTTCAGGCATCAGTTACGATACTATTGTATTTCCTTTGAGCTGGAAAGAAATAAAAACAAAATATACTGTCGTCAAAAGAAAGTTTTTTTTAAAATTTCTAATTTTTGTATTACTTTAAAATATTGATTGATTATTCTTTCGTTCAGATTTCTGTTAGAACAGACTTGCATCAAGATCATTGCTTAATTTTCAACCTCTTTATGTAGCACGTGGTCCATAAAAGTTTGATAGTTTCTTTAGAGCAAGTTTTGGAAGTGAAAATGAAGGCTGATGTTTTAAATTTTGTTGCAATTTGGCTAATCCAGTTTGACAGTTTGGGGCCAAATTTGAGAATCCTGTAGCGAAGACAAACAAAGGAAGACTGGCACAAGTCGTTCAAATTTCAAAATTTAATTTTTTTCTTAGAATGTTATTGTTATACATATATAAACAACAAAAGAAAATACTGTCACAGAAAACTCTTCATTTATCTGTGTTCACTAATACTATAAGTTGGTAATTTGTAGAAAAAAGTTAAAAACTGAATTTCATGATGTGATGCCATGTGAAGTAGTTGTAACATAATATTTGATTTATATCATAAAAACACTCCATAATTTAGTTCAGTATGTCTGTGTGTTGCCATATCCTATTGCTGTGATAAGTTGATGTAACTTGAAAGTGGCTAAAAGGATAACAACAGTTCTAATGAAGGTTACTACTTTAGTTTTACTTCTTTTACTGACTTTTCTTTTACTTTATTCAATGTCACAACTTTTTTTTGCACTTGCACCACAAAACCGTTTATCCATTTTTATCCTTCTGGTTAACACATGAGGGGATTCGTTCACGACTGCAGGGAAGGCTGAGATGTCGTGTTACTCTACTTCTTCTTACTACGATTACACAAGCAAGAAACAGAACTTTAAGTGTGCATTACGTGATTTATAATTTGTTATATTATTCTCTTGTAAAATGTACAGTTTGGGAGCAACTCTACTAACGATAGTTTAACCCTTGGTTACGTGTACAAGTACCTTACACAAATAACATGGGGCAGTTGTGGGAGTGTAATGAAGCAATAAACAGAGCTTTAAGTGTGCATTACGTGATTTATAATTTGTTATATTATTCTCTTGTAAAATGTACGGTTTGGGAGCAACTCTACTAACGATAGTTTAACCCTTGGTTACGTGTACAAGTACCTTACATAAATAACATGGGGCAGTTGTGGGAGTGTAATGAAGCAAGAAACAGAGCTTTAAGTGTGTCTATGTGCTGGTGCATTACATGATTTATAATTTGTTATATTATTCTCTTGTAAAATGTACGGTTTGGGAGCAACTCTACTAACAATAGTTTAACCCTTGGTTACATGTACAAGTACCTTACATAAATAACATGGGGCAGTTGTGGGAGTGTAATGAACCAGAACACTGGGAACATATAAGTTCACTGGTATATGTTACAGTACACGTATCCTGACAGCTTTAAATCAAATTATGCTAGTTTCTTTGTGAAACTGTGATGTTTTTCACGATGGTAATGTGCTTTGATGGAGGCCATAAAGAAACTTCAGAATGTATAGCTATAAATAAGTTTTATGAAATTGGTCATTTAGTTAGCTTCTGGCTTAGTGGTAATAGTATTATGTTCAACAGAATTTGGTTTTGTAAAGGATGGCTGGTAGTTAAACACTGTATATTAGTGAATTAATTCCAAGTTCAAGAAAGCTATGTTCAGACTTTTTTTTATCCAGGATTGTACTGAGAATAGTCTGGGGTTGCACGGGAACCTTTGAAGAACATTAAAAATAGGAGGGCAATCTTGGTGAGTTTCCAATATATTCCACTAGCTAGCAGTCAATAATTGCATATTGTTGCCTCACCATTGAATACAAGTGGCAGCTTCTCTTAAAGCCGTGAGACACCCCTCAAAGTATAAAATGTATTTCCTTACCCAAGCCTGTAAGGAAATTGTATGGACTTTGGGATATATTGGTGGCTCGAAGTTGTGATTCGGGGTACACGTCATAAAAAGGTTGGGAACCAATGCTCTAAGATACACCATGTTAAAGTGATGACTTTGGGCATTCTAATTATCAAAACAGAATCTGCTTAGATTCAGATTATGTATTAGTATTTCTTTCAATGAGATACTCTTTATACCCACTTACATAGACTGAAACTCGGGTAAGTCCAAAGTATACATAATCCTGCTTTTGAAGTGTGAAATGAACTTATTGGGTTAGAGCACTCTTTGTTTATTTTTCTAATCTTGAGCTGTTGTGAACTGTCTACATACTTAGAATAATAGGACAGTGGGTGAAAACTTGGGTCGTAGGTTTGTTTTAATCTCGTTTTAACAGTTACAGCCCATTGTATTAGAATTGAAAATATGGTCTTTTCTTGTGACTAACTTTTCCTTATTTTTGACACTGCGTGCCTGACATTATAAGAATATTGTAGCGAGAGTGAAAAAGTTAATATGGTAACTGTTTCCAGTTTCTCCTATCTGTTATGTGGATAACACAGCTTTATAAAATGAGTAAATTATTGGATGAACTGATGTTTATTATTTGTAGCTGGTTACTACGATATAAAAATTAATTATTAATAAAACAAATTGTTGTTGCCAACTTTTAAGGAGTCTAAAACAAATATTAATAAGCATATTAAATTATAATGTTAAATATTCATTTTCTTTACATATATTATCTCCATAAATTAATTAGAATTTGTTTTAGAGAAATTAAAATCTGTTCTAAATGAGACAACTGTTTGCTTCACTCTGTATCATAAAATTTTATTGCATTGATTTGTATTTCAACAGTAATATTTGCCACAACAAGAAATATGCTATGAGAGAAGATGTCTGGGGAAGTGTGGGAAACAAGAGTGTTTTCTTAGGAACTTAACTTAAATCAGCTTACTGAAATAAGTTGGGAAAATGTGAATAATCAGGTTGAATTATAAACTGGGTCATGAATGTGTGAACTTGGGAAAATGAAAACACTTAACCATGGTGTAGTATGTTAACCCACACATGTTCTTGCATAAATTTATTTCTGATGAGTTATTAGAGTGTTTAATATTAAGAATAATTGTCTTTATTTGAAACAGCTAATGTATGGTTTATTGTATATGTAAGCTTTAATTAGAAAACATTTATATGTTTGCCATACTTGGGTCAGTAAAGTGTTGTACATTTCTGGTGTTGTCTCAGTTATTTTTATCTGTTGTAGTGAAGACTATTAAAAGGTATTTATAAAAATTTTGTTGTACAGATATGGAAAATTTGCTTTTTAAAATAAATGGTATATTCTCAATGACTTCTGTTTGACTTCGCTGTTTGCTAATAGATTACGTAAAGTTATCATTAAAACCTTATACTCCCTGTTCGCTAATGGTGGAGTCTGCATATTGCATCATATGAAACAAATATGTTTTCTCCGTTACAACACTTAGGTGTAAAGAAGGTACCAAGAAATTTACGTTCCATCACCAACTTTTTATATAAGATACGTAGTGGGATTAATTACAAAGTAAGATGAATGACGTGCTTTCACTGCTTCTTGTTCCACAAGCAACACTTCAAAATTTCTTTAAGTTTCCTTAGTTGTATTTATGTAATAACTTGTTTCATTTTCCTTTGAAAAACAATCTCAAGCATTTTGACAATCCCAGAACGTTCCCAATATTACAATAACGCCTTTCTGAAGTAATTGAAGTGTTCCAGACACTACTACATTCTATATATTGAAAACATTTTACATATATGTGTGAAGAACGTTGTTCGTGAGTGACACCTGTGATAATGAAAACGTTTTGGAGCATTTAAATCCATTTATGTTGAAAACAGAACCTTTTATGTATCGTATAAGAAGAAGAAGAAAGTAAATACTGTCTAAATTATTTATAACGAATATATGATACTTCTTTTGGTATTGAATGTAAACATTTTCCATTTGACTCTGAGTTTTTTGGGAAAACAATTTTAAAAAGACCAAAATAAGTCCAGTCACGGTATTCAGGGACTCTAATAAACGAGACGTAACAAAAAGTTACAACAAAAATGTAGGCTCAGAAAGGTTTATGTAGAAAAGGAAAAATAAGTAAATTAATAAAAGAAACCTTTATTCACAACAATGTGTAAGGTTTAACAGAAAACAGACTTGCTTCTAACTTCAGCGTCTACTGGGGCTGGTAAGAGATTTCCAAAAGCATTTGCAGAGTACAAGGAAAGGGAGACTCGTAACCTACTGCACTTAAAGTCTGATAGAGGGGCCCTAGTATGGTATCCCATAACTTATAAATTCCATACGTCAATGATTACTCCAGATGGCTTGTTCAAGAAAAACCCAGCTCATTAACTTGTACAAGAAATTTGTGTCCTCCTCTTTAGATGGGCCTCCCTTCCTCGGGAGTGAACACTGACATAGGGACAAAATGCTTTAAAAATGTAATATGTATATTTGTTTGAATCTTTTATAAATTATATAATAGTATATATAAATACAACAATAGAATATATTTGTGTTTGTTTTCCGGGAGAAGGGTGAGATAGCGGACTTCTGATTTTTAACAAATGAAAGGTTTTTGTGTGGAACAATGACTCGGTTATTTTTTACTAGTCAATTAAAATCCATGTATTGAAATGTTAGCTATTGTTGGAAAAGCAATTTACTAGTAGTATTTATTTTAAATTTTATTGTCGCATTCTATGAGGGGCCTCACAGTGACTAATGCCGGCACTGGTGTTCCAAATATTCTTCTTATTGGGTTATTTTTTCATTTTTTCGCTTGCCAACACTACCTCAGTCTAGCTTCACGTGCTTTTTCTGTTGAATAAATGATTCGTAAAATAGTACTATATGAGAATAATGTTTTATTGCGCCTTAAAAATTATATTAGCAAAGCTGTTTTGAATTAATAAAAATGGAATAAAATATATGTTCCAACGATCGCTGTAATACTGACATGATTTATATTCAGTTACCAATAATATTTATAATACAATAAAATAGTAGAATTTCCAGGAGTACCTGAATTTTAACTAATATCCGAAGATTTTCTGTATTAATTATTTTAAGATTAATAATTTATATCTTTTTCGACTAATTTTTCAAATCATTATTTTCAAACGAATATTTTGTTTCGTCCCTTATTTATCCTGTTTCTAAAACAAGTTCCAGTTCTGTCTAAACTTCTAAACTAGACTAATACAATATTCATAATTAAACTTTTGCGTTTATTATTCTCAATGTTCTGCTGTAGATTTTGTTCTAAACATATTTTGTCATATATAAACTTAATTTGAGTTATATTTAAAATAACTTAACACACGTGGCCAATGGTATGGGTGAATATATATTGTTGATAAATTAAATGTACGAAACTAAAAGAAATTTTTGACTCTGTGTTTATTTCCGTATGTGAGTGAGAAGCGCGTATCAGTAGTTTACGTATTGGATGTCCTTTTAGTTTTAATTTTTAGATGACAATTATTTTACTAGTACTTCCACTGTTTGCAAATATCTTCTGAACTATTAATTATCCAGATTTTATTGCTATTAATTTCATTATGTTTTGTATGATTACGGTCTTGAAATTATACTTATACCAGTTACAGTAGAATCCAATCAAAATTGATATCGTACAGTGTATCCGTGTAAAATTGCAGTTTGTTAAGCCTAACACAGTAACAATATCGCGTAAAACTAGTGTGATTAGTCTTAAGCCTGTGGAAGTGCATCTTCTGCTGAGTCCTGGGATCTGCAGCAAACGGTCATTGCTAATAATGGTACAGGTAGACAAACTATACTAACTTCAGTACTATTACTACTAGTCTAAACTTTGGTCTCGTGTAGGTCCTGCAGTTTAGTGAGATTAAGCGTTAACTATCAATCGAGTAGTAACAAGTAAACGTTTTAGTAAAAGTAAAATTAATTCACAAGAACCATAATGAATTTTATTTTAGATTTTAGTCTGAATACATTAAACTTTAAACTAAAGTTAAAATCGTGGCACCACACAAATTACAGCTTCAGTAAGTCATTTACTAAATCATAGTAAATGTGTTGTACAGAACAGAAAGTTCTGAAAACATTACAAAAACTGTTATAATATTACCCAACATAATTATTTTCTCCAATTTCAATAGAATGTCACCAGTGAACTTCCATAAATAAGTAAAAGTACAGACTTAGTAAACTAGTCTAATCTAGACTTAAGTTATACTATAACTTGTCTATTGGATGTTAACATTATGGTGTAACATATTAGTGGTGTAGTAAAAAGGAAAATGAAATATTATCTAAGATTAAAGATTAAATGAACCAAACATTAAAAATGTATTTTTTTTTTTCCTTTTTAATTCCTCAAATTTACCTAATTCAAAGTTGATGGTATCCCACTGAGCTCTCTTAAAAGTAAGTGTAATGTATTACCAGTGTAGTTTGCATTGTTTACTAGGATCTGTACTGTAGTACAAAACACAGGATGGTCTATCATTTATTAATTGTTTTGTTTTGTATGTATACTAAATCATTTGTTTCTAGTGAAGCACAAAGCTACACAGGTATCAAAACCTGGTATTTAGGTTCATAAACCCTCAGATTTACCACTGAGTCACTGGGGTGAGGCATAATAAATCATGAATCAACATACAAGTTCTTAGTGGAAATATATTTTCTTTTATTAGATGTAAATTTTTATAAAATAGTTTTGTTAGTAAGCCTACTTTTCTTCACCAAATTGTTGAGCACATGTAATTTTTTAAATAGGAATATCAGGCAGTCGAAATGTTGCCAAGATCAGTGACTTTCAGACATTTTCTGATATACCGATGGGCTTAATTTGACAAGATCTATACTGAAAACATGTAGGTACCAATAAGCGTGGTACATCCTTAAAAATTCTTCATTAACAGGTGATATAATGTTGTGGCAGTAAATCAATCAGTACTGACTTATTGACATTACGAGATTATAATACAAAATGTACTAACCTTTAACAGGTGATGTAATGTTGTGGCAGTAAATCAGTCAGTACTGACTTATTGACATTATGAGATTATAATACAAAATGTACTAACCTTTAACGGGTGATGTAATGTTGTGGCAGTAAATCAGTCAGTACTGACTTACTGACATTATGAGATTATACTACAGAATGTACTAACCTTTAACAGGTGATGTAATGTTGTGGCAGTAAATCAGTCAGTACTGACTTACTGACATTACGAGATTATAATATAGGTAGTGAAATAATATGTAACTAATAAACTTGTACTGTTCATCGTTGTTATGAAACATTTTATATACGTACAAGGTGCTGTTAACTCAAAATTCAGAATTAATATTTATAGGTCATTTCAATTTTGAGAAGTTAGTTTCATCAAAAATACTGAAGCACAAGTCCATGTGACACTTCTAAATAATTATATATATTAGATAATTGTTTGTTAGATTCAAGATCGTTCACGGGGGTGACTATGTGAAGAGACATACTCAAAGGACCAAATGGCCCCTTGTCCTTATGTTAAACACTAATATAATTAAGGCTTCTATTTTTAGGTTTTATCTGATAAACACACTGATAATTATTGAAATAATGGATGTGATGATTACTCAGATAATTGGATCCGATTAGATTTCTCGCAAAAATCGG